CTATTGTCTGTCATTTGCAAGTTGTTCACTCGAGTCATCCTAAATAGGATTGGCAGAACACTAGATGAAGGACAATCATCTGAGCAAGCCGGGTTCCGCAAAGGATTCAGCACCTTCGACCATATCCACACAATAACCAAACTCATTGAGGTTTCACTGGAGTTCAAGATGCCGCTCTGTTTAACATTCATTTATTTAAAGAAGGCCTTTGATTCTATTGAGATGGAAGCAGGCATTGAAGCCCTAACCAATCAGGGCATTGAAGCCCAATACATCAAGATTCTCCGTGAGCTGTATTGCGGATTCACTACCAGGATCTCACCATTCTACAAAGAAGTGATCTTTGATGTCAAGAGAGGGTTTTGGCAGGGTGATACCATTTCACCGAAACTCTTCAGTGCCACCCTCAAGACCATCATGCGACGACTGGAATGGGAAGGAATGGGAGTGAAGATAGATGGTTGGCAACTACACCACCTCTGCTTTGCTGATGACATTGTTTTAATAACACCAAACATCAGCCAAGCGGCACAAATGCTGGCCGACTTTGACCGTGAGTGTGGAAAGGTAGGACTACAGCTGAATCTTACGAAGACAATGTTTATGAGAAACAGCCTCGTTCCTGATGCCCCATTCACTCTCAACGGAACGACCATCTCCGAATGCATCAGCTATGTGTACCTAGGTCGAGAAGTCAACATGACAAATGACCTGGCACCCGAGCTGCACAGGAGGAAGAGAGCGGCTTGGAACGCCTTCAAGAACATCGAAAAAATAGCTAAGAGGACGAAGAACCTCCGGCTCCGGGCACATCTCTTTGATTCCACTGTTCTTCCTGCATTAAAATATGCCTCAGAGACCTGGGCCCTACGCAAACAGGATGAGAACACTATTTCGATCTCCCAAAGAAGAATAGAAAGAGCTATGCTTGGAATATCACGTTTCACTCAAAGGAGAGAAAAAATTCGGAGTTCCGACATCCATCGACGATCAAGAATCAGGGACACTGTCTCATTTGCCAAGGTGTCAAAAATCAGATGGGCTGGTCACGTAATGAGATTTAAAGATGACCGCTGGACTAGAGCTGTTACTGACTGGATTCCACGGGATGTCAAAAGACCGCTTGACTGCCCACCTACCAGATGGTCAGACTTCTTCATGAAGATCATGAACGATCGGTTTGAGGCACTTCATGTTCCCAGAGCGAACAGATGCCATTGGGCTACACTAGCATGCGACAGGGACAAATGGAGGCGTTACTGGCGCCCGCTCGAGCAAATCGACGACTAACGGGAAGTTAAGTGATTAAGTGAAGAGAATTTGAAATACTATTTAATTTGTCTTTTATAGCAATTTGTTAAGGCTCAATGAAATGCTTTGTATGTGAGTTTCCCAAGTTTATTTTACAGTAGGAGCAATTGATACCTGAGCACTACAAGTGAAACCAGGAAAGAGACAGGAAGTAAACACAAGTACCCAGCTGTGTTCCCCAAATCAAAGAACATCACATATTGCCCATATTTGGAGAAAGTTATTTTAACATAATGATTAGATATCCATCAATTAAAATTATTTTTATTTTATAAATGGTTCAGAATATTTGATTACATTTAAAATTCAAACACCAATCCCAATATCATTACATCTTCCCATCACCATATTTCGGATGTTTCCATCCGGAACCCAAATACCTGCCCCAAAGCAGAACCAAGATAATATATTTTGTTTTGTCTGTTATGAGAAACCACTGAAAATTCTACAAGTATCCTTAGTGATATTCATTAATTTTATCCTAATTTATTCATTTGCTCCCTTGGTTGATAGCGTGATTTCTATTACAAAACACATTTCAGTCTTTGTTTTTTGTTGATACTGAACTTTTAAAAGTCTTTCAGTTTCCTAAGTCAAATCCTCATGATGTATTTGCCATGTTTAACACGTGGCTTGGGAAGGTTGCCCAGAGGAGTGCTGCTTTAGTGGGGTCACCAATGCTGAGAGGGAGGAATTCAGACTCTAATCCCTGAATTTCAGTGTCTCAGGAGGGGAGACTGGAGAATGAGGGTGATCCACAGACAATTTCAGTAAGAGTCTTACCCGCGAGAGGCTCTGAGAATTCAGAATATGAGGTTCGGTGGGCTCTAGATTGTGATTTTCAGGAAATATGGGACGAATTAAGGCTAATATCTGGTCCCTCTGAAGCAGAAATGTAGGTATGTCTCTGTGTGTTTGTTAGAGAGAGTGTGTGTGCGTGTGTGCATGTTTGTGTGTGGTTGTTGTGAGGAACAGGTCTAGATAGCTTTTTCAGATCAGCTTTACAGGAGCCCGTATTGCAAATTAACTGGTTGTTTTTGCCCCTGAGCAAGGAATTCAGATACAGGTACTCAAGTTGCAAGTCATGAGAAGGGTGGGGATCAGATCAGATAATTGGATGTCTTTCACAAGACTCATGTTGCAAGACCCAGGACTTCCCTGAAAACCAGGACGTTCCTAAGCACTGACACAGATGCTGATCTTTAAACTATAGGCTAAGAAGTGATGCACCCTTAATTGGATTGGTTAGGAAAGTATTTGTTATTACAAATTTATTGGCTCTGAAATGCGCGGGCTCTGTTGTAACGGTCGGTAAAGGCCTATATAAGATCTCTTTTGGAGAAGATCGGGATCTTTACCCAACCTGGCAGACCTGCGCATCTGTGTAGGCGGTTGGATCCTGGTTAGCCAGTCTTACAATAAACCCTGCTTGCTATCTGCAGTCTCCGGAGTCTCTTTTTTGTTAGAGGGAGATTTCGATCTGCACCCTAACATTTGGAAGCCCCGCTGAGATCTCCCGAAGGCAAATGGGCCCAGAAAGCGGGTTTTGAAATGGCCTTAAAATTCTGGGGAATATTCCATCTGTTTTCTTGGGGGATGGTGTCCCCTTCTGAACCACGGTAGGGAAGTGGCCAACCTTGACTGGGAGGACTTGAGGAACATAGGGTTTCCTCGGGTCCTCATCTGTTATCCTAGGATAAGGAGGACGTATTTTCTGGGTCTTCATCTGTTCTGGAGGCCTCATCTGTTCTGGAAAACCCGGCACCAGGAGAAGACTTGGAAGAACTAAACCCTCCAGAGGTGAAAAATCACGTGCACGCCCTTTGGGCAAATTCGGGAATCCCAGTGTGATCGTGTTGAGTGGGGTGCACATCCGTGTGACAGAAGGACCGGTCGGAGAGAGTGCAGGAGTGTGATCTGTGCGTGTGTCCTTAGAGTGTGTATTTGTCATATTATCTTCCTCTTAGTTCTGTTTATTAAGATTGTTTAATATGGGTCAGAATCAATTGACCCCCAAAGCCTTAATTCTTAGCCACTTCTCAGAGGTTCAAAGGAAAGCCCAGAATATGGGCCTCATGATAAAGAAAGGTAAGTTCGATACTTATTGTTCATCAGAGTGGCCTGCTTTCGGGGTGGACTGGACCCCGCAAGGTTCCTTTTCACAGAACCTTGTGACAAGGGTAAAAAAGTCATTACCCGCCCAGGAGCCCATGGCCATCCCGATCAACTCCCTTATGTCCTTATGTGGGAATTTCTCCTAGAAGAACCTCCCAATGGCTCCGTCCCTTCTTAGCCTTCTCGCCTCTCCCTCCCCCTCTCGTTGCTCCTCCAGCGCCTGTTTCCCCCTTCTGTTGCTCCTCCGGCGCCTGTTCTTCCAGCCTTTTGGGATTCCGCCGCCTGTCCTATCTTGGCCCTTCAGAAGGAGGCTGAGAAAGAGGTTCATGCTAAGGCAGCAACGGCCCTAAGGGGCGCTGCAGCCTGCCTCCTGAAGCCACTGGAAAAGGAGATCCGAGATAAGGCTGCTGAGGTCATTGAAGCAATCATAACCCCTTCCTGGGAACCCAATCCTTCACCCCCGGTCCTCTTTGACTCGCTTTATCCTCCCCTCATAGACCTTGACACTGAGGTAAGACCTCCTCCTTATGTCCCAATTCCTGACACGGCAGCAGCCCCCTGGTCCAGCTGCACAATCCACTTAGGATGTCAGCCCCAGTCGATGGCTTCGTCCACGTGGAAACCTCTGGCCTAAGGAAGGAGATCCTGTCTCTAGTTCCGGAACAGGCCCTGATCCTGTTTTTTTGTTCCCTGTGCAAGCAATTGGCCACCCAGGTGGCCACCAATATCAGTATTGGCCATTTTCATCTAGCGATCTATATAATTGGAAAATCCAGAACCCTCCTTTTTTTCTGTGGATTTAGAATCTCAGATGTCTCGTGGAGTCATCATGAATACCCACTGTCCCACATGGGACAACTGCCAGCAACTCATCTGAACTCTCTTCACGACTGAGGAGAGGGAGCGCATCCTCGTTGAAGCTTGAAAGAACGTGGCGGGAAATGATGGGCGGCCCACCATCCTATCTGACCTCATTGATGTGGTGTTCCCCATAAGTCAACCTAACTGGGATTTTGGGACGGCAGAAGGTAGGGAGCATCTCCGAGTATACCGCCAGATTCTCATGGCCGGTCTTTGAGCGGCCGCTAGACAGCCCACGAATTTCACCAGGGAAAAAGCTGTTGTCCAAGGGGAAACAAAACACCCAGCTGCATTTCTTGAGAGATTGTACTATGCCTACCGGCAGTATACACCCATTGATCCGGAGGCTGACCTACACCGCTCAGCAGTGTGGCTCTCCTTCATTAGCCAGGCAGCCCCTGACATAAGAAGGAAATTAAATTCCCGGGAAAACCTGGGTATCATGACCCCACAGGAAATGCTGCATGTTGCTGAGAAGGTATACAACTCTAGGGAGAGTAAGGAAGAAAAAGAGGTTCAGTTAAGGTAGGAGGACAGAGACAGGCAGGAGAGACAGAGAAAGGAGGATCAGGAATTCCGGGCTAGGGAAAATCGGAAGAATCAGAAAGAATTTACTAGGATCCTTTTGGCAATCTCCAGGAGCACCAGGGCAGGAGTCCGGACATAGAGGGAGGGGTGGCGGGTGGCTCGGCGTGGCCCGGACACTACCTCCACTACCCAGCAGCCTCCACACTCCAGAATACTTTTCGGACCTGCGCAACACATCATAAGACACTAAAAACCCATCTTCCGAAATGGCCATATCATATTTGATAGGGTTCAAATATGGTAAAACCTACGAGGGCAATTAGAGGTCGCCTCAAAAGCCTCTATCCCTCTCGGAAAGACTGGCAAGCTACCGAGAGTATTCTGCCCGCATGGAAGAGCCTGGCAAGCTATCTGTTGTGTATTCAATATGCCAAAACCAGTAATTACAACAGGTCTCATCCACCTGACCCTGAAGGCTTCACCGACATGGCAACATTGAGAAGGATGAGAAAGGAAAGGCCGATTAAATCTCAAGGTCGAACTAGGCTGCCACAACGAAGGAAGACAAAAATTATCGTCTGTACTTTCAATGCACGTATGCTAGCATCAGATGCATACATCGAGGACCTCATGGTACAAGCACAAAAGATCAAGTACAACATCATTGGTCTGACCGAGACAAGAAGGCACGAATCTCACCATGCCGTTTTCGACACTGGAGAAGAATTGTTCCTCAGAACATGCAATAAAAGAGGTGTCGGAGGCGTCGGCATCCTTGTCAACACAAACTTGGCCATGAGCACTGATTCATTCGAATGCCTAACAACCGGAATCAGACGTTTACATTTGAATAGATGTGGCTCACTGCCTGTAGTTTCTATCTTCGTTGTCTACGCACCAACATCTCATTATGATGAAAGAGAAATAGAGAAGTTCTGCATGGAGCTGGAGAAGTTCTATAAAGAAGACCACACCTTCCACAAGATCATTGTGGGTGACTTTATTGCCAAGATAGGACCGAGAAGATCAGCTGAAGAACTTCACATCGGGACCCATGGCCTAGAATGGAACGAACAGGGTGAGAGACTGTCTGAGTTCATCATGACAACCAAGACCATCCATGGTAACTCACAGTTCCAGAAGGCAGAAACTAAACGTTGGACATGGGAGTCTCCCGGTGGACGATTCCACAACGAAATAGACCACATCATATTCAATCGACGGTTTTGCGTGACCGATGTCGCTGTTGTCCCAAAATTTCGAACGCGATCCGACCACTGTCTCCTTTGTGCAAAATTCTACTTCACAGAGCGGGGAGAAAGGGCTGCAAAGTTTAAAAAGAGAACCCCCAGAATGACCACCAACTGGGAGCTCTTTGGCACTATTGCGGCAACAAGGGAAGATGCCATTGTTGACAGCATTGACGAGGAATACGATCAACTGATTCAGCACCTCCATAATTGTGCGAGGAATGCCAAGAAAGAGATAACCACAAAAAAAGTCTGTCTTTGAAAACTCTTGAGCTTATTCGCCAATGTGGTTTGGCACATGCTTCTGGAAACCGCAAGCTAACATCCGACCTCGCAAAGCAGTGCACAGTGGCAATCAAGGAAGACCTCAAAGAGAGAAGAAAAGAAGTGCTGGTAGATGCAGCAGAAGCCGGAAAAAGTATTCGTAATGCCCGCCTGTCCTTCTCCAACTAGAAGACCAAGATGACTGCCCTGCGACGTCCTGGTGGATCCATCACATCCTCCAGAATGGCAATGGAGATTATCCACGCTATTACTCAAATCTCTTCGATAGCCATGTCCACTTGCCGACATACCAAATTCCACAGGATGGATATGTTGTTCCCAACGTTCTCCCGTCTGAAATCCGACATGCCATTTCATCAGTAAAGAAACGAACAGCACCCTGCACAGACACGGTCAGACCTGAACACCTGAAGAACCTGCCGTCAGTACTCATCAATACACTGGCTCGGCTCTTCACACACTACCTGTCTGAATGCAAGGTTCTGTCCCAATGGAAAACCATCTGGACCGTACTACTGTTCAAGTAGGGAGACATCCATGACATTGGCAACTATCGCCCTACCTGCCTCTTGTCTGTCATCTACAAGTTGTTCACTTGAGTCATCCTAAATAGTATTGTCAGAACACTAGATGAAGGACAACCGTGCGAGCAAGCCAGGTTCCGCAAAGGATTCAGCACCATCGACCATATCCACACCATGACCAAGCTCATTGAGGTTTCTCGGGAGTTCAAGATGCCGCTCTGTCTAATGTTTATTAAAGAAGGCCTTTGATTCTGCTGAGATGGAAGCGGTCATTGAAGCCCTACCCAATCAGGGAATTCAAGCCCAATACATCAAGATCCTCCGTGAGCTGTATTGCGGAATCACTACCAGGATCTCACCATTCTTCACTTCACTTCACTTAACTTCCCGTTATTCGTCGATTTGCTTGAGCGGGCGCCAGTAACGTCTCCATTTGTCCCTGTCGCGTGCTAGTGTAGCCCAATGGCATCTCTTCGCTCCGGGAACATGGAGGGCCTCAAACCGATCGTTCATGATCTTGACAAAGAAGTCTGACCATCTGGTAGGTGGGCGGCCACGCGGTCTCTTGACATCCCGTGGAATCCAATCAGTAACAGCTCTAGTCCAACGGTCATCTTTAAATCTCATTACGTGACCAGCCCATCTGATTTTCGACACCTTGGCAAATGAGACAGCGTCCCTGATCCTTGATCGTCGACGGATGTCAGAACTCCGGATTCTTTCTCTCATTTGAGTGAAACGTGATATTCCAAGCATAGCTCTTTCTATTCTTCTTTGGGAGACCTGAATGGCGTTCTCATCTTGTTTGCGTAGGGCCCAGGTCTCTGAGGCATATGTTAATGCAGGAAGAACAGTGGAATCAAAGAGATGTGCCCGGAGCCGGAGGTTCTTCGTCCTCTTAGCTATTTCTTCGACGTTCTTGAAGGCGTTCCAAGCCGCTCTCTTCCTCCTGCGCAGCTCGGGTGCCAGGTTATTTGTCATGTTGACCTCTCGACCTAGGTACACATAGCTGTTGCATTCGGAGATGGTGGTTCCATTGAGAGCGAATGGGGCGTCAGGAACAAGGCTGTTTCTCATAAACATTGTCTTCGTAAGATTCAGCTGTAGTCCTACCTTTCCACACTCACGGTCAAAGTCGGCCAGCATTTGTGCCGCTTGGCTGATGTTTGGTGTTATTAAAACAATGTCATCAGCAAAGCGGAGGTGGTGTAGTTGCCGACCATCTATCTTCACTCCCATTCCTTCCCATTCCAGTCGTCGCATGATGGTCTTGAGGGTGGCACTGAAGAGTTTCGGTGAAATGGTATCACCCTGCCGAAACCCTCTCTTGACATCAACGATCACTTCTTTGTAGAATGGTGAGATCCTGGTAGTGAATCCGCAATACAGCTCACGGAGAATCTTGATGTATTGGGCTTGAATGCCCTGATTGGCTAGGGCTTCAATGACTGCTTCCGTCTCAACAGAATCAAAGGCCTTCTTTAAATCAATGAACGTTAAGCAGAGCGGCATCTTGAACTCCCGAGAAACCTCAATGAGCTTGGTTATCGTGTGGATATGGTCGATGGTGCTGAATCCTTTGCAGAACCCTGCTTGCTCACATGGTTGTCCTTCATCTAGTGTTCTGCCAATCCTATTCAGGATGACTCGAGTGAACAACTTGTAGATGACAGACAATTGGCAGATCGGGCGATAGTTGCCAATGTCATGGATGTCTCCCTTCTTGAACAGTAGTACGGTCCTGCTGGTTTTCCATTGAGATGGAACCTTGCATTCAGACAGGTAGCGAGTGAAGAGCCGAGCCAGTGTATTGATGAGTACTGACGGCAGGTTCTTCAGGTGTTCAGGTCTGACCTTGTCTGGGCCGGGTGCTGTTTGCTTCTTTACTGACGAAATGGCGTGTCGGATTTCGGAAGGGAGAACGTTGGGAACGACATACCCATCCTGTGGAATTTGGTATGTCGGCAAGTGGACATGGCTATTGAAGAGATTTGAGTAGAAATCATGGATAATCTTCTCCATTGCCGTTCTGGCGGATGTGATGGATCCATCAGGACGTCGGAGGGCAGTCATCTTGGTCTTATAGTTGGCGAAGGACAGGCGGGCGTTATGAATACTTTTCCCGGCTTCTGCCGCATCTACCAGTACTTCTGCTCTTCTCTCTTTGAGGTCTTCCTTGATCGCATCTCTGCACTGCTTTGCGAGCTCGGACGTTAGCTTGCGGTTGCCTGAGGCATGCGCCAAACCACGCTGGCGAATTAGCTCAAGAGTTTTCGAAGATAGGCGACTTTTTGTGGCTATCTCTCTCTTGGCGTTCCTCGCACATTCATGGATGTGCTGAACCAGTCGATCGTATTCCTCGTCAATGTTGTCAACAATGGCATCTTCCCATGTTGCTGCAATAGTACCAAAGAGTTCCCAGTTGGTGGTCGTTCTGGGAGTTCTCTTTTTGAACTTTGCAGCCCTTTCTCCCCGCTCTGTGAAGTAGAATTTTGCACGAAGGAGACGGTGGTCCGATCCCGTTCGAAATTTTGGGACAACAGCGACATCAGTCAGGCAAAACCGTCGATTGAATATGATGTGGTCTATTTCGTTGTGGAATCGTCCACCGGGAGACTCCCATGTCCATCGTTTAGATTCTGCCTTCTGGAACTGTGAGTTACCATGAATGGTCTTGGTCGACATGATGAACTCAGACAGTCTCTCACCCTGTTCGTTCCATTCTAGGCCATGGGTTCCGATGTGAACTACAACTGGTCTCATTCACCTCACCATTCTACAAAGAAGTAATCATTGATGTTAAGAGAGGGTTACGGCAGGGTGATACCATTTCACCAAATCTCTTCAGTACCACCCTTGAGAACATTATGCGACAATTGGAATGGGAAGGAATGGGAGTGAAGGTAGATATTTGGCAACTACACCACCTCCGCTTTGTTGATGACATTGTTTTAATAACACCAAACATCAGCCAAGCGGCACAAATGCTGGTCGACTTTGACCGTGAGTGTGGAAAGGTAGGACTACAGCTGAATCTTACGAAGACAATGTTTATGAGAGACAGCCTCGTTCCTTACGCTCCATTAGCTCTCAAGGAAACGACCATCTCCGAATGCAACAGCTACGTGTACCGAAGTAGAGACGTCAACATGACAAATGACCTGGCACCCGAGCTGTGCAGGAGGAAGAGAGTGGCTTGGAACGTTTTCAATAACGTCAAAGAAATAGCTAAGAGGACGAAGAACCTTCGGCTCCAGGCACATCTCTTTGATTCCACTGTTCTTCCTGCATTAGCATATGCCTCAGAGACCTGGGCTCTAAGTAAACAGGATAAGAATGCTATTCGGGTCTTCCAAAGAGGAATTAAAAGAGCTATGCTTGGAATATCACATTTCACTCAAATGAGAGAAAGAATCCGGAATTCTGACATCCGTCGACGATCAAGAATCAGGGACGCTGTCTCGTTTGCCAAGGTGTCGAAAATCAGATGGGCTGGTCACATAATGAGATTTAAAGACGACCACTGGACTAGAGCTATTACCGACTGGATCCCACGGATGTCAAAAGATCGCGTAGCCGCCCACCTCCCAGATGGTCAGACTTCTTCATCAAATTCATGAACGATCGATTTGAGGCTCTTCATGTTCCCAAAGCGAACAGATGCCACTGGGCTACACTAACACGCGACAGGGACAAATGGAGACGTTACTGGCGCCCGCTCACGCAAATCGACGACTAACGGGAAGTTAAGTGATTATGTGATTAAGTATTATCACAATATTCTCAAAGTGGTGTGGAACACTGAGGTGATTGATAGACTCTCTAGTGTACAAAGCACAAGACTCTCTGTCACTCTGTCCTGAGGGTCCTGTCCCAGCTCAGCTGCAGCCCAGGACCCAGAATCCTCACAGCCCTGCCCTCACCTGTGCTGTCTCCCCATGCTCCACCCAAACCAGCAGTTTCCAGGGAGGCTGGACCCCAGAGCTCAGGAAGGAATGGAGTGAATAATGATGGGGACATTTCCTAAACCAATTCGGTAAAACCCACTGGTAACATTATTTCCCCCCTCCCCTTTATTATTGATTCACCGTGAGTCACAGTAACAAAGTTTTCAGGTTTGAGCTTCAATCACACAGTCATCAGCACCCATCCCTTCCTCAGTGCACGCTTTCCACCACCCAAATCCCCAGTATTATCCCCCCCATCACCACCACCATTCCACACCTCCCCCTGACTGTTTGGATGACAATTTGCACAGTAATCTCTTTCTCTACTGTGATTATCTTTAATATTTCAGAGCAGTCCCACCATCACTCATACATGCTGAAAAGGCCATGCTAGACAATGTTTTGTATTGCTTCATTTGCCCTACGAATTTTAAAATTTTAATAATCAGGGTCTGTAGAGATCACTGCAGCAAATTACTGGGGTCTGAGATTCATTTGTGTGTCTCTGGGTCATGGTTGTGTGGGAGCGTAAGTACACAGTGGCCATATGTGGGCATCATCTCAGAATCCCATCGGGGTGGGGGGAAGGAGAAGGGCCGACTCCTCCCATGTCCTGTGAGGCCTGGCATTTCCAGCCACTGTCACCCTGTACCTGGAGCTTTTTGCTGAGTTCTAGAAGATGGCACCTGTCCAGATTCCTAGGTGGCAGGCGGAGGGACGACACCTGCCCCAGTCTGGAGTGGCCCAGTGAAAGTGGCCTACTGCAAAATCAAGAAACATCTCTGCAGCAAGTTGCTCGTGTCCAAGATTCATGTATATGTGTCTGGATCATGGCCGTGAGGGACTTTAAGTAGATGGTAGCCATATGTGGGTGTCACCTCAGAGTCCCATTGGGGTGGGGGAAAGAGATGAAAACGTTCTTAAACTGATGAAAACTCACTTTAGGTAAAGATTTTATTAACATGTTTTACTCTACATTCAGTACATTAATGAAGATATATCTCTTTAACCAGTCCTCCTATACTCACTTTATGTGTTTTTTATTCATTACATATGTAAAGTAAGTCATCCTGAATCATAATTAGTAATTTACTAAAAAATGAAGAAATGAATAAAACCATAAATCATTCATTTTGCATTTTTTATTATTAGACACTCCTGGCATGACAAAAATAATTTCATGATTTTGTTCTTGACAGCAATTTGGGCAGGTACAATGGAATTTGAACATGATAGCTCATGGGTGTCTCAAGACATTATCCATTACCACTAGCTGATACCCTGATCACTACAGGGGGGAACCAGGACACAGACAGGAAGTAAACATGGAGAATGCCAGGTGTGGCCACAAAACCAAAGAAAACGCATATTGTCTGCATTTGGATAATAACAGGTTTTCATAATGATTAGATACCCGTCCATTTCATCCCAATTTAGTCATATTGTATCTGGGCTGATAATGCCATTCTAATAAGAAATATACCTTCACAGTTTAACTTTATTATTGACATTGAATCTATAAACCTGTTTCTATTTTCAAAGTGAAGAGGATTTAATTGCACATTTGTGATGTTGAACAGGTGACTTTGGAAGGTCACTAAAACAGGAGAGCTGCCTCAGTGGTGTCACCATGTGATGGGAGGGAGGAATGTAGATCCTAATCCCCAAGTTCCAGTGTCTCAGGAGGGTGAACGGAGGTTGAGGTTGATGCACAATGAGAAATTCATTAAGAGTCACATCTACAGTGGTCTCCATATGGAGCCTCAGTGTAAGGAGGTACCTGGGCTCTGGGGTGTGGTGCATCTGGGGGTGTCGGGAGAGTAGGGGCTCAGGGAGAGCATCGATGCTCTGGGTCCTGCCTCTTGTCTCACTGTGAAGGAGTCAGCGCTACCTGTGTCACAGAACCTGGTCTCTCCTCTGCGAGGGCTGAGGAGTGGACAGGGAATGAAGAAATCTGAACATCCATTTAGTGAGTGGGTGGGGGATCAGAGGTGAGCCCTTCCCAGAGAGCAGGGCTGCTGTGTAAGATGATGAGGTGGACAATACCTAATTGCAGGTCAGAGGGTAGAAGTCAGTGAGCAGAGTGTGTGTATATGATAGTAGAAGGAATGAGCCAGCGCACAGCTGAGTGGACACCAAGATTTCTCTTTCTGATGAAGTGACCCTTACCAGGAGACCATGATAATCTCTGCAGGGTCAGAGGTTAATTTCTACAAGAGAATAAGGTGCCCCTCAAGCCCCAGAGAAGTCATGGTTCCACTAGTGAAATCTTACATGAGAAACAGTGAGGCAAACTTCTTCCTGCCCGCAGAGGGGATGGAGGACTCAGAGCCACAGCCCACAGGACAAGGTGTCCATGAGGGTCATGTGAGACTGAGGGACAGGTCAGGCCTGATCTCAACAGAAACATGATTCATCTGCTCATAAGCAACTTTTCCTCAGGGGAGAGTCCTCAGAGCCTCCTGGGGGGTCTGTGCCCCTGAATCTCACCCTGCTTCTTCCTGCAGGTGGTTTATGTCTGGGCCCACATGGCCTTACTCTCACTGTGTCTCTTGCACAGTAGTACAGGGCCATGTCCTTCTCCCTCAGGAGGCTCATTTGCAGAGAGACAGTGTTCTTGCTATTGTCTCTGGAGATGGTGAATCGTCCCTTCACAGAGTCCGCATAGTATATATGGCCATCATTAGTAATGCGTGAGACCCACTCTAGGCCCTTCCCTGGAGCCTGTCGGACCCAGCTCATATAGTAGCTGCCAAAATTGAATCCAGAGGCTGCACAGGAGAGTGTCAGCGATCCCCCGGCTGCACCAAGTCTCCCTCAGACTCCACCAGCTGCACCTCACATTGGAATCCTGAAAGCACAAAGATTTCCTGGTCAGAAAAGTATCCACACACAGAGGATCTGCCACTCCCATCTCTCTCATGCTCCGTGTCTTTGTTGCCCAGATTTACCTCCTAACACAGCCACCAGCAGAAGCCAGCTCAGCCAACAAGCCATGTTGGTTCTGTCTGAGTTAGGATGGAACCCCTGAGAACCCCTGAACTGACTTCTCTCCTGGAACTGAGGCTGGGTTGTCTTGTTTTCATCATAGCAGGGAGAGGCTAATTTGCATATCTTTCTCCTACATAAAACATTCTGTTTGAACCTAAAGAGTTCAAACTGAAGTGAAGGACTCCAGAGAAAGTGTCAGCTTCTGTGGGTGACTTGTGACCTGAAAAAAAAATTCTGTCATGCAATTATTAATATGACAACCATTTAATTTGTGATATTTTGTCTTTATTTTTGATGACTCTCATGTAATATCTACAGTCATACTTCTGTTTCATGCATCATTTGTCACAGAAAAGCTTAAATTCTTCACACAACATTCTCATAACACATTCTAAGAGTTAGCCCCATTATTGAGACAAAAGTAATCCGCTGAATGGCACCAAGTTATGAATGAGTTGGAAACCAAGAGTTAAAACAGAATCAGGAGTAAGGCAGAATGGCCAGACATCATAGCCCTCATATCTGGGATACCTGAGGTAGGTTCCTGTGTCTGCTCTGTCTCTGCTGCTTCTCCCAGAGGAAACATCTCTGAGAATAAAGATGTTTGTCCTGATATCAAAGGCCCTCGGATGTGTAAAAGTTTAGCTCATATAGACTTAAGTCAGGCAGCTAACCTAAGACTGTCATTCTTCTGATGATTCCTGGTTCTAAGTGAAAACTCTCACTGTGTTGGGCATTAGGAGCTCTCGGTCCACGAGCATGTTAGTCCCCTGACGCCCCAACCCTTCTTTCTTAAGTCTGTCTTTAAAATACTCACAGCACCCATGGTTTGTCCCTGTTCACCAGAATTGGTCCTCAGTAACAAGAGATGTAGAGACAGCAGAGGGATAAGCTTCTTCCCTTGCATGTGGCCAATCAAGGTTCATTCCCTGCACTTCATATGGTTTCCCATGCCCCCACCAAGAGTGACCCCTGAGTACAGAGCCAGCAGTATACCAAGAGTGGCACAATAACAAATCCAAAACAACTGGGGCTGAAGGATTGCACGGTGGTGGGGTGCTTGCTTTGCACATGGCTAACGCAGGCTTGAACTCTAGTATCCCATATACTTCCCCCAGCAATTTCAAGAGTAACTTCTGCTGAGTCCAGAGTCAGGAGTAATCCCTGAGCATCGTCAGGAATAGCCCCCAAACCAGACAAAAACTCACAAATAATGCCAAACAAAATATGGGTTAGTTGCTGACAAGAACTTCTTTCCTGTAATGAGAAAAATGTATTTATTCTGAATTTTGCCTTTACCTGGAGGATGTTGGAGAATAGTGTGCATGGAGGTGCATGGGGTGTGACTCTTGACGACAGCCCGACCCCACATCTCCTTCTTACCATGTCAATATTTGATTAGCAGTAAAAACCACACGAGGCCATGTCCTAAACTGAATACTGACTTATAGGTCATTAATGTTTCATGAGCACTGGCATATATGAACACCTATGCAGTGATCTTCACACCCAAAACAGTGGATGAACCCCTCACCAAGTGTTTCCCCTTGGCTCATGATATTCCTATCCCCACTCCTCACCCCTCCCTCATGCTCTTTTCAGTGCTTTCTGTTTGTGTAAGTGTATGTAGGGTGTGATGGTGGAAATTCACTCTTAATAGCCTTCCACTCTTGGGATATATTATGGGTTTTTACTCATTACTAAAGGCCTCTTGGATTGTTCTCGGTACTGGACCTTTAAAGTAGGTCACAGGAGAGAGAAAAATGAAGAAAAGCTGTTCTACGTCTTACATGAATATCAATGAAAAAGCTATAGAAATAATAACAAACAGGAAAGTAGCGATTAATACTCACCCTGCCAGGCATTGGAGTCCCGGGGGCCTGGTGGGGGTGTGGAGGACAGGCAGGGCCGATCACAGGGAGGGTGTTGGGAGTGTGAGGGTGTCACTGAGAGTGGATCTGCTCTGGAAGCGAAGGGCAAGGGTCCTAGGAAAGACGCTGGAACTGGGCATGGATGGGAGTGGGTGGGGGTCATGGGGGCTGAGTGTCTCTGTGTTGAGACAGCCCGTGTGGATTTCTATCACATGGTGACCCTCTTTGCTCCCTGGTGAGGCTGAGGCCTTTCTGAGGTGGCTCCCGAGTGCCCTCTGGTGGTGCGCAGCGCCCCTGCAGCTGCTCCCTTGTCCCATGCAAGAGTTGGTGTCTGGGCTCCCCTGAATGACCCACAGTCCCGTGCACAGTCACACCCCCGTGGTCACCTGCTCTCAGGCTGCTCCCGTGCAGGCAGGTAACAGGGTTCCTGGGTCTCTGGAGACGGTGAATCAGCCCCTTCAGAGAGTCAGGGTTTGATTGCCCTGCCACAGTCCTGCCCTTTCCCAGGGCCTGGTGACCAGATCATCCAGGGGCTGCTGACCAGAGTCTGCACTGGAAAGACTCTACCTCTGTATATATTTCTGTCTCTCTCTCCCTCTCACTCTCCTTTCTCTATGTCTGTCTCTGTGTCTGTCTCTGAGTCTCAGTCTCTCTCTCTCTCTCTCTCTCTCTCTCTCTCTCTCTCTCTCTCTCGTAAGCCTTCAGTGATTATATCTAGTTAATTGAGATCGGAGCCTTCCACATTACATCCCACCCAATGTCCAATTTGTTGTGCTACTCCTGTTTGTTTGAGTTATAGTGCTTTTGATATGTCACTCCAGGAAATCCAGAGTTTTTAATGTGGTAATATAGCTGAAGTTAAATCTTTACCTGATGGCGGCTTTGAGGCATGTGCGTGACTGCCTGACTTCCAGAAGTACAGAAAGAAGGCGGGAATGTATTCGTCGATTGCCTCGAGCAGGCCCCAGTAACGTCTCCTTCATCCTGGCCCTAAGGTTATATTCAAGGCTCTTTAGGAGAATGAGACCCATCATTGTTACTGGTATTTGGCATATTGGGTACGCCACGGGGAGTTTGCCAGACTCTGCCGTGTGGGCAGGCTACATTCGGTAGCCTGCCAGTTTGTCAAAGTAGGAATGAGATGTCATAATAAGATGTCCGGGTTCCGGGAGCTGGTTTTTATAGTCTCAGAGTCTTGGCCGCTGATGGGATTACACAGCGCCAGGGGGCCAGTTGGTGGGTGTGACCCCCGCCTACTGGAATTTGGAGGATCTGGGTGGAGGATGCTCGACTCCGATCCGAGTAGGCTTGGATATCTCGACCCTGAAACCCACGTGGCTTTGTCCCTCTGTCGGTACCTTCAGCATGGTGGTGGCTGTTCCTGGAGGTCTTCGGCTGCCAGGGCCCTGGCCAGGGCGGGGAGGAAAGCTCAACCTGCTCCCTTCCAAGGGGCCCCGGCGAGGAATAGCCAGGCGTGGGGGCAGGAGACTGCGCTCTTCTCTTCCGGGAGCTGGTTTTTATAGTCTCAGAGTCTTGGCCGCTGATGGGATTACACGGCGCCAGGGGGCCAGTTGGTGGGTGTGACCCCCAGAGGAGAATCCATTCCACATCATAGTTGGTTAGAGAGAATCCAGAAACCGAGCAGGTGAGGTACAACGTCTTCGAGGGCATCACCAGGCTTGGTCCCAATTCCTGCAACTGTACCTGTGACAGGATACCTGGGGACAGAGACCCACAGTGAGTCACGGGCTCAGAGGCCCAATGCTCACCTTGGAACCTCTGTCCAGGGGATACTCAAATCCTGGAGTTGCCACCAGAAAGAGGAGGAACCAGCGCTGATGCATGTTCCTGCCCATGATCTCAGACACTGTGTCAGGGGGAGAGATAGCCCGAGTTGGGGTGAATGTGAATGTGGTTTTAATCCTGGGTCCTGAGTACAGATTTGCATGGGGGAGTCACTGTAGAGAAAGGAGGGGACCCGGGGAGGCTAGCGTGTGGGTTCCCTGGGAAGAGGTGCTGACTGTGGCTCAGAGCACTCAGGCCTGTCCCTGGGGTCCTGTCAGAGCCAGGCCTCTTCCTCCAACACAGGAAACGTGCTGAGGAGCTCTCAGGAAACAGGAATTGCTGAGGGGGAAATGGCAGTTGGGGAGGAGAGTCACCATGTCTCAGGTCCCTGATGACCAAACCCAGCTCCCCCCCAGCGCCTCTACCCTGTAGTCAGGGTCCTGTCCCTCTGTGTCTCTCGGTGGTGGCCAATGTTCTTCCACTGCAGATGGAAAACCTGGGACCAAACAGGCAGTGTAACTGTCACAGGAAATTCTGACTTGGCTTCGTCCAATTCATGGTTAATCAATTTTCACTCTACTTACTCTCTCATCTTCCACGAACATTCCTTCCCATGAAGTAGTGTCACTCCCTAATGTCAAGGTTGTAATTAGGGTGGATTTTTTTCACTGTTAATGGTTTTGTGTTGGGACAGGAAGCTGTTTCTGCCTAGGTGAACTTCCTGTTGTGCTTTGCTTGGACAACAGTACCTAACCTGGCCAGCCCTGTGTACAACTAGTGTCTAAAAGATAATCATAAACCTCAGGACCCTATTCTTGGAGTTCAACAACTGAAGAATCCAAACCCATGTTTGATGCTTAGAAAGACCCAGTAAAGGGTCCTCTGCACACAATCTGTTGGGCAAGATGTTTGGTCTTTGTGTAAAGACTCACACATGCTACAAATGTACAGTGTGCAAGCCCTGAGCAGTGACATGTGAGGCCCTACCCTTCCCCCAAATGCATGGAACCTAGACACAGTCAGTGTCACATAAGTGTACCCCTAATTCCATGGAGCACCAGAAGGTTGAATTAAATCTAAGGAACCAGAAACTGTGCTTTATAATTTGATGTTTTAAAAATAAGCATTTCTGTTTGGAGCAATAGCACAGAAGTTAGGGCATTTGTCTTCCATTCAGCTGACCTAGGTTCAATTCCCAGCAGTGCCAGGAGTAATCCTGGTGCCTCAGGAATTGCTGAGGGGGTAACAGCAGCTGGGGAGGAGAGTTTCGGTGTTTCAGGACCCTGAGGACCAAAAGCAGCCCCTCCAGGTCCTCTACCCTGAAAACAAGCCCTTACTCCATATTACACT